CCACACCAGAACTCCCAACAGCCTTGGAAACCCCATGGGCAGTTCTCTGTCCTATAGGGTCCCTATGAGTTGGAATCGACTTGACAGTATGCTTAGAAGGAAGTGAAGGGTCCACTGTTGAAAATGGAAGATTGGTTGGTGATTTGAGTTTTGGAAATATTCCTGCCTGGAATCTGTGTTGATCTTTTTCCTTCACCACTGATGGAGCCCTCCATCAAGTGTATGGTGATTTAGGAAATTAGAGGGCTACTGCATGCAACCTGAAAGTCTAAGGAATAAAGTTACACAGGCAGAGGAAGTCACTTTTATTTACCCTCTCTGTTACTCCTTTAAGGAGCTCTGGTAGCATAGTGGTTATGAATTGGGTTGCGAGCCGCAAGGTCAGCAGTTCAAAACTACCAGGTGTTCTGCAGGAGAAAATTGAAGCTTTCTGCTCCCTTAAAGATTTACAGCCTTGGAAACCCTATGCAGGGTTGGAACCGACTCCATGGCACATAACAACAACAACAACAATAACTCCTTTGGGAATCCTGGTGTGGCGCTGTGGGTTAATGCACCAGACTGCAAAGCCGTTTGAACTGCAAGGTTGGCAGTTCAAGCTCACCAGTCACTCCTCCTCGGAAACCCTGTACAGGGTTGCTATGGGTCAGAACTGACTCAACAGCACTGAACAACAACAGCATTACTCCTTTGGGCCCTGATGTTTTGCTATAGGATAAGCACTAGACTGCTAACCACACTAATCACAAAATCAGCAGTTCAAATGCACCAACTGTTTTCAGCAGTTCAAACCCTATACATGGTCACTGTGAGTCAGAATTGTACTACTGGTGTGGCACTGTAGAATAAGCACTGGACTGCAAACCACAAGGTCAACAACTCAAACCCATCAGTTGCTCCTTGGAAAACCTATACAGGGTCGCTATGAGTTGATGAGTCTGAACTATGAGTTGGAACCGACTGAACAACACTTAACAACAGCATTACTCCTTTAGATTTGATTCAGCATAGGTGTTCTGAGAAAATTGCCTGACTGCTACTCCCCTCCCCCACCTGCTCTACTGCCTGTTTGCTTCCTTCCTTCCCCTCCCCCTTCTCCTTCCCATCTTTTCTTGCTCCCTCCACGGCTTCCTTTTTCCACGTTGGTTCAGACCTAAGACTGCCCTTTAGCCTAGTGTACAGTCTGATGTTTACTTTGGAAATGAAGCACTGGAATATGAGAAGAGAAAGCAGGGGAGTGCTTCTGAGAATATCTCATCAAACCCCAACGTCTCCCAGAAGTACATATAAATGAATCCTTACTTATTTCATAGCTATCTGTCAGGCTTCTGTTTTTGCTTTGTTAGCTATGAATTTAGACATTTCATCTCTCTTCAGCCCCATATTTATGAACAGACTCTTGTCCTATCCTATTTCTTTACATCCCTCATTACTATAAAATTGTAATAGTATTTCAAGAACATGACTTTTACATTCAGTAAAAAACTGGAAGGACTTAATGTAAGAAAGGGCCAAGTGTTAGGCATCTTACTTAGACAGGAAAGAAAATTGCTTCAGAGAAATGATGAAGAGTGCAACAGAATCTGAATTGCTTAAACTTTACAGAGATTTTGGAAATGCCACAAGTCAAGGAAATCAGGTCATGTGTATAAAGAGAAATTCAAAGAGCTAGCTTATTTATCTTGAGGGGAAGTCTATATATAAGGCTTGCTGTGCACAAATGAAAATGTTATGCCTAAGGAGAATGCTGCCACCCCATGGAGATTGAGCAATGAAGAGAACAGATAATGAAGACTGAAAAGGTCGAGGTCTGTATAAAGGTCAACAATGACTTCCTAATCAAAGCTCATTTATAAAGTGGAAGGACTTTAAATCAAGATAGAGTAATTATTGAAGATTATTTTTGAAAGTCTTTAAGACTTTAAGTCAGTAACTCCATTTATTTAAGGAATTGGTAACTTTTATTAAAGAGTCATTTGTCAGTGTTTCTAAGAACTTTTGGAGGTCATAGAAAATTGCTGATATGTGACTTTATTTTTAGAATATAACAGACACCAATATCCCATAATACTGTGTTAACAAATGTTGACCTATTAAATATTTGCTTCAGGCCTTTTTATTTTATTTTTAGATTTGAAATCCAGCTGCATCTTTTATTTATTTATTTTTCTTAAATGTTTTATTGTAAATTATGTGATAGTTTACATGGGAGAACATTAGTTTTACATTCATTCTATTGTATATCGTCTCATTGCCATGCTTACAATCCCC